AGTGTTCATTGCTTTGGTTTTGCTGATGTTGACTTTGAATCCATGTTTATATATATATATATATATATATATATATAAACAAATAGATATATACAACAACAACACACGTCTAGACGGCATTTTCCCCGAGATCGGGGGTTGCCGTTTGGCTACCTATGATGAAACCGAAATACCCCTCGACTCCATCCACATCTGTCACTCGCCTCAGTATCACGCAACCCCGCTTTCACCCTGTCCTTCTCCACCTGCTCTCTCCATCCCAATCGCGGACGACCCCTTCCTACCACTCCTTCAACCTCGAACTCCAACGCTCGCCTAATCCCGACCCTTTTATCCCTTCTCAACACATGTCCATACCACCGCAATCTCGATCTCCTTATCAATGTCACAATGTCCTCATTCAGTCCCATCATTGACATCAGCTCTGTACTACTCCTCCTATCCTTCACTTTAACCCCACACATCATCCTCACCATAGCTCTTTCAGCCCTCTGCAGTACACTTTCCTCCTCTCTCCTCAACACCCAAGTTTCACCACCATATATCATCGCTGCTCTCACACATGTTTTATATACCCTCCCTTTCATCTTCACTGACCATTTCTTTCCACACAATACCCCACCCAGTTCCCTAAATTTCAATAAACAAATAGATATATATAAATATAAATAAATAATGGGCTTAAACGTAAGTTTTATAAGCCCATATAAAAATAACATAAAAAGACAACAAAAAGCAATCAAACAACAATGTCAATTTTATGATCATAGAGAAATTCTTTGTTGGCCTTATATAAATCAAAATTCTTCTTGAAGTTGGAAACAGTATCTGATTCAACAACGCATGTTGGTAAATTGTTGCAAATATATATATATATATATATATATATATATATATATATATATATATATTCAATTTATATGTTCAATTTATATATATATATATATATATAAGTGCGTGTGTGTGTGTTGAAAAAAGACCATGAAAGGAGGCGTAATGGCATGGTTCAATGGTTAAAGGCGCCTGGTCTTCCTGCTGCAGTGACTTGGTTCGAATACAAAGAGATCCCCGCCTATCATATGCAATGTGTATGAAGCTTAGTTTTCACGCGTATTCATATACGCTGTGTGTGTTCGTCGTTGAAACCTATGAAGCAAGCGCAAGAGAGAGTAACCTTTAACCTTTATACAGTATTGTATGAACTCTACCGAATCGTTGGCATTAATCAATTTAAAGTTTGTTTTTTCAATCTTTCTTACTAGAATATTCTAGAAATTGTTTAATTTATTGCAAATGTAATTATTATCCAAGTTCATCATGAAAATTTAATAAAACTGTTGTTAACTAATCAATCAATCTTCAATCTGACACTTGATAGAATGGATACCTACATAAGTTTTACAAACTGAACTGGGCCATCGTCCAGTAACTGTGGATTGGATGGGTTCACCAGTGTTCATTGCTTTGGTTTTGCTGATGTTGACTTTGAATCCATGATCGGCCAGTCTGGTGTTCCAATCTTCAAACATCTCTGCTGCATTCTGCTCAGACGTGGCTGTTAAAACGATATCATCAGCATATATTAGATTCCAAATGTCACTAGTGCGTATTTGTTTTGTGATTTCTTCCATCACATTATAAAAATAGTGGACCGAGAATCGAGCCTTGGTGAACTCCTACGCCGATGTCAAATGCATCTGTGTTTCCAACCGTTGTGCCGACGAGAGTCTTAGTATTCGTATACATTTCCGTCACAAGTCGAACAAGATATTCTGGAATGAGTTGTCGACGTAGACTCCACCTGATTGCTTCACGGGGAACTCGATCAAATGCTTTTTCAAGGTCTACAAAAATGTGTGATAGTTGTTGATGCTACCGTACCCTTCGCAATGTTAAAAATCATTAATATGTTTTCACGATTCACGTTTCAATCATTTTGGTTGCCCGTTTCTGAACCCTTTCCAATTCGTCAATTTCCCTTATTTTCTAAGGAGACCCTACACTGACACCATACTCTAACTTTGACCTAATTAAAGATTTATAAATCAAAATAAATGACTCTTTAGTTAAATTTTTAAAAATTGTGTATAACAATCCTAAAAGAACAAAACATTTATTAATGACATGATGTATATACTTAGAGAAGCTCAGTGAATGTTCAAACAAAATCTCCAAATCGTTTACTTCTCCACAAAAATCCAAGTTAGAATTATTAATATTATAACACCAATTATTATCCAAACATGAATGACAAAATTTTATTGCTGTACACTTTTCAATATTCAAATCGATTTTCTATAACATACACCAATCATACAATTTATCAAGATTTTTTTGTAGCACTATTCACTCATCCACAAATCTTATAAAATTAAACATTTTAGCCTCATCAGCATACAAATGCACTTGAACAGAACTACACATCTTTCTTTCTTTCTTTTACAATATCAAACATGTCATTCACATACATAATAAACAAAGCCGGACCTAATACACTTCCTTGAGGCACTCCTCTACTAATTTCAAACTTTTTAGACAAACAATTCACTCTTACATTAGAAGTTCTACCACACAAATACTCCTTAATCCGTTCAACCAAACAATTATTCACACCATAGCCACGCAACTTATTAATCAATAACACATGTGGCACTCTATCACAAGCTTCAGTAAAGTCTGTGTAAATAACATCAACATCCAAACAATTATCAACAGCACCAGTCCAACAATCCATCAATTTCAACAACTGGAGAGTTGTTGATTTCCCCTTTACATTCACACCATAACCACGCAACTTATTAATCAATAACACATGTGGCACTCTATCAAAAGCTTCAGTAAAGTCTGTGTAAATAACATCAACATCTAAACAATTATCACTATTTGAACCAGTCCAACAATCCATCAATTTCAACAACTGGAGAGTTGTTGATTTCCCCTTTACATTCACACCATAACCACGCAACTTATTAATCAATAACACATGTGGCACTATCAAAAGCTTCAGTAAAGTCTGTGTGAATAACATCAACATCTAAACAATTATCAACTGCACCAGTCCAACAATCCATCAATTTCAACAACTGGAGAGTTGTTGATTTCCCCTTTACATTCACACCATAACCATGCAACTTATTAATCAATAACACATGTGGCACTCTATCAAAAGCTTCAGTAAAGTCTGTGTAAATAACATCAACATCTAAACAATTATCACTATTTGAACCAGTCCAACAATCCATCAATTTCAACAACTGGAGAGTTGTTGATTTCCCCTTTACATTCACACCATAACCACGCAACTTATTAATCAATAACACATGTGGCACTATCAAAAGCTTCAGTAAAGTCTGTGTGAATAACATCAACATCTAAACAATTATCAACTGCACCAGTCCAACAATCCATCAATTTCAACAACTGGAGAGTTGTTGATTTCCCCTTTACATTCACACCATAACCATGCAACTTATTAATCAATAACACATGTGGCACTCTATCAAAAGCTTCAGTAAAGTCTGTGTAAATAACATCAACATCTAAACAATTATCAACTGCACCAGTCCAACAATCCATCAATTTCAACAACTGGAGAGTTGTTGATTTCCCCTTTACAAAACCATATTGCCTATAATCTAGTAAATTGTTTTTATAAATGTAATTCAATAGATGATCTTTAATAATGGATTCCAAAAGTTTGCAACAAACACAGCTTAGAGCAACTGGTCTATAATTCTCAACCAAACGTCTATCGCCTTTTTTAAAAATATGAACAATAATGCTGTATTTTCAATCTTCCGGAGTTTTTCCATTATCTAAAGACAAATTAAACAATTTGCACAAATAATCAGAAACTGAATGTTTACATTCTTTCAAAACAGTTGGGAATAAGTTATCGAGTCCTGCTGATTTATATTTATTCAATCCATCAATTTTTCTTTCAACTTCACCTCTCTCAGTAAAAAAAGTTGATGGCAAAGAAAAAGTTGATGGCAAAGAAAAAGTTGATGGCAAAGAAAAAGTTGATGGCAAAGAAAACAACGCCCTACCTCGGAAAACCGGGTCTCTGGACGCAAAACGAAGATTGATTCTTTCAATAATCAAATTATCCATCATAGCATGATTATTGTATTCCGTTAAATTTATTTTTTGTTGATTATGCAAAACCGCTATCCTGAACATAAACATTTTTGAGAAAGTTAGCAAAATTCTCAGCTTTACAATGGTCATCCATTATAATGGTCTTCTTATCAATTAAATCATACAAAGTAATTCTATTTTTTCTTGATTTGTTAATCTGTTGCCAGAAAACCTTTGGATTTGTTTTAATCAACTTAGGTAAACGTAGTGTATCTTGCTCTTTTAATTTCACAACAGTTCTTTTAATTTGATTTTTCAAATGCTTATACTCAGTTAAAATTTGCTTATTCCTATGTTTTATAAAATTCTTCCATAATTTTTTCCTATTCCTAATCAGATTTAAAACATCCCTTGGTAACTTAATTTGGTTACGATTCTTAAAAAATCTCAAGTTACCAATTGGAATAAACCTACTTGTTGCCTCATTAATCACATTCAAAAAATAACACCATAATTCATTCACATCATTATCATTCTTAACAACAGTCATACATTTTTTAACATTCAATTCAGACAGCAAGTAATCATTCATCAATTTGTAATTACCTCTCTTTAAAATCAAGCCTGGTTTTTAGGCCACACCTAAAATCATACAAATTTATACCCATTACTAACTTCAAACGACAATAATCACCCTTACCAAATGGAGAACGATAAGATAAATTTTTTATTAAATTTCTATCCTATACAAACAACAAATCTAACAAAGAGCTCTTGTGCAACCCAAGACACCTTGTTGGCATGTCCTCCATCTGAAAAAGAAAATAATCCTCAATTAAATTCAATCATCTTGTCTTAATGGACTTGCTTGAACCAATAGTTAAACAATATTTCTTATCAATGGTTGGAAAGTTGAAGTCTCACACTATTATTTTTACTCCACCAATTGCCATGAAGGCCTGCAAAAGATTTAATAAGTTATCATTATTAGATTTAATTGAATTAGGAATTCTATAAATCACAAGAATGTGAAAATAGTTAAAAAGTCCATAAAACTTGATGCATAAAAATTCTTTAATGTCAATACCCAAATCCACCATATGTGATTTTATTTCAGTCTTATGGTAGCAGGAAAGTCCCCTATAACTTCATGAAATTTGCTGTATAAAGTTTATAACTTTTTAAATAAAATTCATTTTCTGAATAACTTTTATGTTTAGCATTTGTCTCAGTAAAAACAATAATATCACTCAAATTATTACAACCATCCAACCAAAATTTCATTTCATTCATTTTGTTTGTGATGCAATTCACATTTGAATAATATATATTAACATCAACACCTACCAAATTTAAATAATTTTAATTTTACAACTCTCATATTTGTAGGAATTCCCCTTACCCGAAACTGGAATTCCTCCTTACTATCAGCTTGAAACTTTTTAGTTTCTATGACCAACTCTTTCTTTTTCTCCCGCTGCTCTTTGTTTAGGTTATAATTAACTCCAATGCACCTCAAACTACTGCTCAATCCTTTAATTTTTTAAGGTTTTCCATGACAATATTTCTATCTTTTTTGTCATAAAATTTAACCATGACTGGTCTAACCTTATCACTTCTTACAACCAGTCTAAAAATAGATTTCATGCTGCTCTCTTTAATGTAACCATCAGATAATGGAGAACATCTCTAAAATTTGCTTTCTATCATGGCTGTTGCAAATAACCTTATCATTGTCTTTACACTCCTCCAGCTGATATATAATAATGTTATGCATTCTTTCCTCCAAATCATTATTAATTTTAATACCATCACTTGTTTTTTCAATAGTCTTACAAATTGTTGACACCTCTTTATTAACCACCTGTACTTTGTTTTTCATCTCACCTGCAACTTTAGCCCAACTTTATTGAGAGAAGCTTTTAAATCTTTAGACATGTTAACGTTTGCACTTTGTAGTGCTATAAATTTTTTCTCATTTTTATCAGATAAAGCTGAAATTTCCTTCACCATCTCATTACTTTTATCTTTTAACCCAACCAGTTCCTCCTTCATTTCCCTCTGCTTAGCATTCAACTCTTTGTATACCTTTAATTAAATTCTTAATGTGAATCAGACAATCATCGCAGCTCCACCTGAAATTTGGAATCTCACTAACTTTTCCCATCAATTCATCAGTAAGTCCAACGGTTTTATAAGGAAATGAACCATTACATACAACGCAAGTCACTTCTTTTACCAACACCGTTTTATTTTCTCTACCACTTTTTTCCCTTGTTGTAGTCTCCATCTCGAACTCAAGTGCAAAACAAATAGAAAAAACAAAACAAAACACACCCACAACAAATACAAAATTGTTAACTCACAGCCCCTATAGTCGTGCGCCTAACCCTAACTTAGTGACTATATTTAATAACAATGTTAATACTCAAAAATAATTAATAGTTTGCATACCTAACTTATAGATAACATATAACACACACAAAAATCCGAAAAATGTAATTAAATCCGAAATTATTTTGAATTTTAAAGACAAAATTTTATAAAGCCAACACCGAATGTAAACAAAGACAACCTTGTTGACAATATAAATATGCTGGTAGAAGACCGAATTCTTGACAATATGTAATAAATTCCACCGATTTATTACTCTTTATCAACTTGTATTCGAATTTTTCAATTTGTATTAGTAAATTTTTATCGACAAGATTGAGTCTGTTACTAATTTACTAAGATAAATTGAAAAATGCGAATACAAATTGATAAACATTAATAAATCGGTGGAATTTGTTACACACACACAACACACACACACACACACACACATATATATATATATATATATATATAGAAGAATTTGGAACGAGCGATCATAGGATACTTAGGTTCAACATAGTTTTAGAGCAGAAAAAAAAGTCGAGGCATATTCAAAGCGCTACAATTATTTCAAAGCAAACTACGACAAGGTCTGAAATAAAATCATACAGATGAACTTGGCAGAGCGATTTAAAGATTTGGGAGTGCAAAATAAATGGAAAACCTTTGTGTCCTGTATGAATAAAGTTGTTGAAGAGACTATACCGACTATCCGGAGAAGCAACAAAAAGCTACCGTGGATAAATAAAAATGTACAGAAAACCAGAAGATCAAAATTTAAAGCATGGAAGAAGATGCAGGAGTTGAGACAGAGATATCTCAGAAATTTCAAAGTGTGAGTTAGAAGCAGCAAGGGAAAAATATATCAGAGAAATCTAGCAAAGGCAACAAACAGGAAAGCAATAAAGGAATATGAAGAAAAACTAATTGGGAACATAAAAAAGACAGTAAAAGCTTTTTCAGTTACATGAGAAGCAAACAAAAAAGGAAAGATAAAGTGGGGGCCTCTGAAGACTGACCAAGGCAAGATTGTAACGGAAGAAAAAGAAATTGCTGAGATGCTCAATAACTACTTTGGATCGGTGCTGACAAAAGAAAATACAAATAATATAACGGAGCCAAAAAAATTTTTTGGGGGGAAGCCAAGAAAGGGTGCTTACAAGTGTTTACATAACAGAAGAGATGGTTGTCGAAATCTAGGCAGTCTCGAAGAGAATATAACTTCAGGAATAGATGAGCTGCACCCAAAATTTTTAAAGGAAATAAGACATGAAGTAGGAGCCACACTGTGCGAAATATTTAATGACCCGTTAAGATCAGGAGATATGCCAAGGGATTGGAGGGACGCTATCGTCACGCCATTGTTCAAGAAAGGACGTAGAAGCGAAACTAATAACTAGAGACCAGTTAGTTTAACTTGCATTATATGTAAATTATTAGAAAAAATTTCAACTTTGACAAATGTGCAGTCATGCACTTAAGAAGGAAGAATGCTAGGCATGAATATAATATTGGTGAAAGAGAACTACGATCAACAGAGGAAGAAAAGGATCTAGGAATCATTGTTCATCAAAGCACAAAACCGTCAAGACAATGCACAGTGGCAGCGGCCAAAGCCAATACGATCTTAGAATTTATAAGAACAATGGTCAGCAGTGAGAAGCATATCATACTGAAACTGTAGAAAACCCTAATCAGACCTCATCTGGCGTACTGTGTTCAAGCATGGAGCCCATATATGCAAAAAGATAAGGAAGTTTTAAAAAAAAGTACAACGTAGAGCCACAAGAATGATTAGAGGAATCGGAAAAATAAAATACGATGAGAGATTGAAAAAATGCGACTTAACATCATTAGAAAAAAGAAGATGCAGTGGAGATCTAATCCAAACATACAAAGTGATCACGAACAAAGAAACAACACCATACTCGAGATTTTTCAGGCTAGTAAACAGTGATATAAACTACGAGGACACAGATTTAAGATTTTCAAAAACTCGGGTGGAAAATTAAAAAAGCATATTTTTCAGCAGTAGAGTGGTCAACGCCTGGAACGAGCTAAGCGATGATGCACTCTCCGTGAATTCACTCAACAACTTCAAAGCCAAACTCGGGCAGATAGGATATTAGGGGATCTAATTAGTAGTGGTTCTTACACAGACTATAATCTTCTGAACCACTGTTTATTCTCGTTAAAGATTTTAATGTTGATTTGTGCAAGATGATTCGTAAGCTGGTGTATTAAGTATGGTTATAACTCTAAGGTCTTTTTTGTGAGTTACGCTATAGATGTATCGACCTAGCCTCTGTTATCTGTTATTACGTCTATGGTTACCCGTTTAATTGTTTGTTATTTAAATTTTTGGGGCCTTTTTTTACATATTGGAAATTTTAATGTTTATTGTTGTAAAAAAATGTTATTGCTCTATACGTTATATCATTAAATTATTTATTTTGTATTGTTTCATCTAATATTATATCTTTGTTTTTTTGTTTCACGATATTATATCATTAAATTATTTTTTGTAAACAGTTGGTCCAAGAAAAGTTGGCAGAAATGTACCTTAGATTGAGCACATCAAGAACTTATTTATACAGCGTTGCGAAAGCTCTTGATAATGGACATGTGGCTTCGAAGGTATCGTCATCGAAATTAACCATTCGTAGTTTCAACTAATTATTGGTATCAGTCTGAATAGCGAGTAAACATTTTGTAGTCATTTACTTTATCTGACAGTAATTGGCTACAAAATTTGATAAATTAAATTGGATCACTTTTTTGAACTTTTGGAGTTATGTTGTTGTCGAATCGAAATTGACAGTCAGTCCCACCGCTTGAAGGCTCTTGCTCCAGGACCAGATCACTTTATCGCCAGCACTGTATTTTATTATTTTCAGATCACTGGCGCTTGGAATAATGTACTTAAATTATAATTATTTATAACCTGGTTGTCTCAACATTATTTTATCTGCACAACTCTACCATGACTTATCGTTTTTTTAAGCTTAGTAAATCTTCTATATAGCATTTTTTCGTTAACATTTTTTCAAAATCGCTTGCTTAGTTTTCAACATTTATTTGTCAACTTTTATCATCACACCAAAGTGAATTCGTAAATAGTTCACAATAATTTTTGTACAACTCACTCAATGAAAAATATTATGGGTGGTTGCATTTTTGATTTGTACAAATTATAATTTATATAGGTTGACAGGCTCTCAGTCTAGATGTTGGTGAGAAACGGGGTCAGCAAATTATATTATCTTGCTCGTTTTTAATACGTACCGTACCCACCCTGTCAAGGTGTCGAGTCGGTAGGAATCAGATTTTTTTGAGGAGTCGGGATTTGTAGTACGTTGATGGAGGAGGAAAAATTTTAAAAATGTGAATATCAAAAATTACAAACATGGGCATTGAGATTATATTGTTATAATATTCTCGCTGTCGTAACAGATTTACGATGCGACGGGTTCAAATGTTCGACGTTTATTTCCAGTAAATTCGCACTAACGCAACAATTAACTTTTAAATCTTTCAAAATCTATCGTTATGACAACGTCAACAAACAAATCAAATATCGCTTTAAATAATTCACCGAATCGCTATTCACAAAATCACGAATTTCACTAATCACGAATATCACTAATCACGAATATCACTAATCACGAATATCACTAATCACAAATATCACTAATCACGAATATCACTAATCACGAATATCACTAATCACTAATATCACTAATCACGAATATCACTAATCAAGAATCTTCTTGCGACGTGCGCTTATATACTCTTCGCAAGCGTCGTTTCTAGATTCTTCCAGATGGTCCGATTCTAGCATACTCTAGAATACTCCAGTCACTAGAACATTCCAGAATACGCTAGAATCCAGTGCGTTCGGTATCACGGTTATAACATTACCCCCTTTTTAGTTCTGTTCGTCCCGAACAGCTTTCGTTCCGGTGTCCGCATGGTACGGAGCCAGTCTATCCAAATGAACGATCTTCATTCTTGCTCTCGGCTTCCGATATTCCTGAATACGGTAGACGACGTCATTCAAGCGGGTGATGACTTGATAAAGTCCTTCCCACCCTCGCTGGAGCTTTGGAGAACGTCCTTTCTTTCGCTGTGGGTTGTACAGCCAAACTAACTCGTCGACAGCAAAACCGCCACTGCTTCCTCTCAAGTCGTATCTGGTTTTGGCCGCCTCCGTGAACTTTTGATGGCGTTTCTCCAGTAGTTGTGTGGATAGCACTCCGGTATGCCATAAGAAACAATGGTATATGACGATCCCAATCCCGTTGATTTTCGTCGACTACTTTAGCCAGATGTTCAATCAGGGTTTGGTTAAATCGTTCCACAATACCGTCAAGACTGTGGGTGAAGAGGTGTTGTTCGAGTTTTGTTAATACCCAGCAGCTTGCACATTTCCGCAAACAGTTGTTACTCAAAATTTCGACCTTGATCTGAGTGGAGTTCCAATGGGACACCATATCGACTAATCCAATTGAGTACAATTTCCTCAGCGACGGTACATGCTTCTTGGTTGGGTATTGGAAACACCTCAGGCCATTTGCTGAAATAGTCCGCTACAACCAAAATGTAACGGTTTCCATAATCTGATACCGGAAAGGGTCCAGCAATATCTATAGCAATCCGTTCAAAGGGAACACCAACATTGTAGATTTGCATTGCTCCTTTTAGCCTTCTTTTGGGTCCTTTGACTGAAGCGCATGTGTTACATTTTCGACACCAGCTCTCTACATCTTCTCTAACGTGAAGCCAGTAGAATCCTTCTCGTATTTTGTCAAGGGTCTTGTTCACTCCTAAATGTCCCCCAGAAGGGCCACCATGCATTTCATCAAGGATTTCGGTCGTTCTACTTCTTGGTAATACAACTTGCATGCGGTGTTT